TATGCTTTAGCTGTGTTCTATTAATTTACTCGTTTCCTCCTTGTATTTAAGCCCTGTGTTTCCCTGTGTCTGGCGTCTGCTGTTATGTCATTTTATGTGCTCTGAGTCTCCTACGTTCCCAACGATTGGATTTAATAAAGACTGTTTTGTTGAAGAGTTCCTCATCTCCTCGTTCCCTTGCTCCTGCGGAAACGTGACAGCCGGAATTTTCATACTTGTAATATGACACCCTTTAATAAAACTTCTATGGTTTTGTTTACATTTTGTTCTTTCAGGAGACTGACAGATCCCTGGTCATTGTATTTCACTGCATGTACAATAGCAGATAGTGTTCAAAACTTCTATTTTTGTGTTCTACGGGAGAAAAAAGCGATGAACCCTTTTCTCAGACTGTGATGCATTTCAAAGGTCATCAGCATCGTAAATTGTGCAAAGTTTTTATATATATATATATATTTTTTTTTTTTTTTGTAATGCATGTACATTTATAACACTATTCGTATTATATTACCTTTGCATCAAATTATGAAAAACTAGTTAATGCTGCTGTGAGGGTGTTTCTAATACAGCGGCTGTGGGAGTGATGGTAAATTTGACATTGTTCTCTCTTCTGACTGATGTTATCAATCTCGGCCTACTGTTTCCTCTTTTTAAAAGTCATGAAAACACTATTGTTGAGTTTTTCTTTTGCTGTTTGAGCAAATGGGAATGCAAAAAAACATACGTAGTCTCCCATTGACCACTACAGAAGCTCACCCAACTATGATGACTTCTGCGTCTAAAAAAACACGGAAATGTGAAAAGGGTCCATACAGGTTTGGAACGACATGATTGTGAGTAAATAATGAAAGACAGACATGAGTCTCTGAGAACTTAATAGTCATATCTGTGAAACTATTAACACATTTATTTCCTTTAATATGTATGAAAACCAAATAAAATTAATGCATTCTAATCTGCTATATACAGCACATAAACTACTTTTTTTTTTTTTTCCAACTTCACATTCTGTACAGTCCTTTGGTAAATGGAAGTACACTTTGTCTAATTCACTTTCTTTGCCATTTCAAAGAGCAGTGCACTCCCTCCCTCTACCTCTAATTAGAGTCAACAAGACACTTTACACACAAGTCTGCCTCACTTATGGCTTTCTCTTAACACAGCGCATTACACGTGCATTGTAATGGCCCATAAATGGCCAGAAAGCCTGAGTGAGCATCTAGATCCCATTAGATATGGATCACACTGTCAGGACCAGCATCGGTCCGCTATGATTCAAGTAAACATCTGGGACGGTTGAAGGCTAACAGAAGGGAGGGGGGTTACTGCCCTTGATTAATGTCTATGTGCCTGTTCACCAATGAAACACAGGTCATGCTGCATGTGACTTAATCAAATGCTTTACAGACGGTCTGTGTTAACAAGGGATTAAAAGACAAGTTAAAACTAAAAGAGAGAGCAATTTATCAGAGTAAGAGTATAAATATGCTCACATGTTAATCATTTTGTACTGCTGAGAACTCAGACACTTTGTTGTCTCTGAGAAGACACGGCCAGGATGAGATGTGTAATGTTGTGTGAATGTGTTGTAAGGCCTGTGACACTGATGAAAGCTGCTAGCTACTATATATCACTACACAACAAAAATTTTCACTACACTGCTTTTTCACTTTTATTCTGCAATGTGCAAAAAAATGCAAATTGTGCATTTGTCATTTTCACTCTAGTGATCGTCTTTTACTAAGTTCCTCCCCCTTGGGTACTCTTGCTATGTAGGACAAGCTTTTCTACTAGCCTGGGTTCCTGGCACTGTCAAATATGGATTGAGAACTAACAGGATTAGAGGTGGGTGAAATGACCAAAATCATATCACGGTATGAGTTTTTTTTTTTTTCATGGTAACGATATATCTATATCTATATAATAATTTAATAAATATAACAATTTATAATTTAATAACTATATTGTGAGATATGTATGTGTATGTGTATATATATATATATATATATATTAAATTATATAGTTATAAATGAGGTCTTTATGATATAAAAAATGTTTCACCAATGTTAATATCACAAAAAATAATACGAGCCTAAATTTGAAAAAAAAAAAAATTAAAGCTTACTGAAGACAAGTAAACAGTCAGCAATTAAATAAAAAAACATATTACACGCAATAGAGCAAAAACACTACATTAGAACAAATAAATAATAAATGCTACATTGTTTAAAGTAATCAAATGTATAAAAACTAGTGGTCAACAGATGGGTTTGACTGGTCAGACTGCTGTCTCACACTCCAACAGACACATGATGAAAGTTAAGGGTTTGTGCACACAGGAAGGTCAGATATTGGGGTGAAACAGACTGACACAGATATAGAGCTTGCTTTGGTCTGTGGTGACCCGAGTCAATAGCCAAGGTGATACGAGGTCAGGACAGAACAGAGAGAAATTGAAACCAGATAGAAACTAATCTTCAGAAGGAAGGGGAAGGAAAACAATTTATTCTAGCCAGCAACACTATGTAAATAGTATGAAATGACCTCTAAGTGACTACAACTCAAGTATAATATAAAACAGTAGCTATTTCTGAGCTCTTAGCCAACTTAAACAAATATAGGCTAAGAATACATATTTATTCCAAATACTGAAATGTTTTAAATACATTTTTATTTGGGGGTAGGTGATATACTGATTTTAAGGATTGTTTGTGTCAAGTTTGTGCAAAATGGGAAGGGAAGGGAATAGGCATTCAAATTACTTTACATTCAGATATTTACAGATGACAGATTGGATTACTTACCATTACTTTAAAGAAAAAAAAAAAATAAAACATAAAAACCCTTACATTTATTTTATTTTAGCTAGTTCAGTATTTCGTATTTTCATTTATTTTAACTTGATGTAATTAATATACTAAATTAAATATACTTAATATATATATAATATACAAAATTACTAAAACCTTAAATAAAATTATATATATATTTTATTTTTTCCTGTTTTGTAATCATTTTCTGAACCACATATACGGTTGATGAGATAGAATATTAATATAACTGATCATTAATTGTAAATAATGATATATATTTTTTGCTTATATCGCCCAACCCATCTGTGTGAATGTTGTGTTGAGTATTCAGAGAGAACACACACTCCTATATTCCACTGCTGAACATCTGCTACTGACACCCAAACCAATAACAAACCTGTGGAAGAGTGGACAGAGCTCAACAATGGGGAGAGGATGAGATCACCCAAAATACATTGTCACCTGACAAAGAGCCAATCAGCAGAGTTCATTTCTGACATTTCTCCTGCCCAAACCTATGACCGACCTGCTCCTAAATTATTCAGAATAAGAAGCAGAGTGATTGTGTATGTATGAATGAGGGACACAGACAGAGAGACCGAGCTGCTTTGCCTGACATGTGTTCTCAGTGATAAGCCGCTACTCTGTGACCTACGGTGTGCACCTGACACTCTTCTCCAAACTGTTACTCACTGTCGTGCTGTCTAAGGTTATAGGTGTCCGCAATACAACATGCAGTACAGGCTATGCGAAATAGCATGCAAGAGCACGTCATAACAATTAAACATCTAAAAAGAATCACTCAAAACTAATGCTACTGCATACTCCGCACAACCTAACCTGAAAGTTAATGTTTTGTGCATTGTGGAAGTGCAAACGTGCAGTGCAGTGTCATCTGTTCAGCACGTACTGACAATTAGATATTAACTGCATTCATCTCCTCCTGGAGCTGGGGAAATATTACACCTCCCTCAAGGACCCAGGTATCCGGCATGTTTACTGACAGTAATAATGTGGGAAAACTCTGTAGGAAATGCCATCGGCAGCAGCCACCTCAGCTCTTGAATATGAAAATCTCCCACTCAGAGTTCAGCTCACCGCTGTGCTGTTCTCCCTGCCTAAACGCCCTCAGCCGGATCTCAGTCAGTCTGCCTGTCTCCATGAGCAAACATGCCTCCAGACAACATCTAACCACAACCAGGCAAAGGGATAAGAGCCGCGGCATGTAGGAAACGTTTGTCATTAATAAGCAAACAAGTCGAACTCTAAATTCAATATAATAAGAGTTACAATTAAGGAACGATTAGCAAAATATGCCATAAAAACATAAGATATAAAACTAAAAAATTAAATAAAACCCATTAGGGCTTATTAAAATTAAACTCGCTTTGTTTTTGTAGAGAGTGTTATCATACTCCGTACATTTCGAAACAAGTCTAGTAGGCCTACATACCCAGTTACACAGAACATATGTTAGGCTGCGTAGGCTATTGGATAATGGACGAGTATTTGAGTCGCATTTATTAGGTTGTGGGGACACATAAAACAAAAGAGTTGATAAACGCTGAACTAGCCTAGATAGAGACGGTGAGCGGCTCGTTTTCAGCGGAACTGTTATACAGACGGAGCGCGTTCATCCAAAGGTGCCGTCGGGCTGTTATTTTACTGCATATTTTCCGCTTATTTGTTTTCGTTTCACTTCAGTGGTGCTTTTACAATAGAAATTTGGTGTTGTTTAAAGGCAGATGACGTTATGGGTCGTGCGCAAACAGTTAAACCGACAGGTTTCCCCGATGATGAACGTAAAAGTTTGAGCACTGCTCTATTCATTCAATTCTTTCAAGGTCACTTAATTTTAACTGTTTACGTTTACATAGGCGATGCTCAATATCCGTATTTCAAACTAATAATTCTTTTAATTTAACTTTCTTGTAACTGATGTGTGTTTGCCATTTTATTTATTTACTTTGGCTGAAACATGTTAGCGGTCGTACATGGTGTGCTTAACTATGTTAGATGCAAACAAAATCATGGAATAATAAAACTCGTTTATGTATCTTGACTAACAAACTAACAACCATACTTAAAATGCTAAGAAAAGCTCTTGAAAAGCCCCTTTGTCCCATGAACTAGTGAGCAGTGTAACTTTCACCTGTCCGGCTGATGTAAGTAAACTGTCTAACTTACCTGGTTGGTTGTATCCTGTGGCAGGTTCTTAATAAGGATCTTCCTCCTGTTGCTCAGCTCTCTGCGAGTTTTCTCCAGCCGTTTCTCGATCTCCTCGGGATCAAGTTCCGGTAGATCTCTGAGGATGGTGGTCCCCTCGGATACTGCGTCCTCCTCCTGTCGGCTCGCGGGGCTGTCGCACTCCGGGTGAGGTGAATTTTCCCGCTTTAACGTGTGCACGCTCGGCGGCTGGATGGATGAAGCGGCCGCCATCTTGAAGCGCTCGGTGGTAAGTGAGTCGGAGAGAGCGGATAGGTGGGCGTCTGTGCTTTGAGTCAAACCCATCGACGGCACTCTTGAAAGTAAGTGTGGATGAGCCCCAGCACAGTACAGCTGGCGACCTCCACCGATGGAAAACTACACACATTCTGAGTTTCTGACTATTAGTCTCTTTTCCTCTTCTTAACAGGACAGTATCAAATTAAAAATAATAACAATGAATGCCATATCAATTTAAGATAGCAACAATAAATAATAACAATAAAACATTAGCATAACAATTTGTGATGATGATGTAGGCTAATAATAGTTCTAGTAAGCAGATCTTTTGTAATTAAATATATTTATTAAAACATTATTAAGCAATATTTAGGTGTATCTAGTGTTTATTTATTTACGCAAATCAGCCAATAGTGTTGTCACATTAGCGAAATTCAACAAGATTCGTTGGCAAAAAAGGTCCATTGTTTTTTTTCAATAGCATACCAATGTTTAAAGGCGCCGTCATACTGTTTGGCACATTTTTGCAGCTTTTTCATAATCCACACGATTTGGAATTCCTATGGGATTGGGATTGGGAATTTTGTATGAGGACGAAAGATTTCCCCATGCCAATTTCCCAAAACTGGTTCTTGGTTACTCAGCATTGACCAACAGAAAACGTCTGTGTGAACCGTGCTTATATCGCTACACAACTGAAAATATATTTTTTTTAAAGCACAGCTCACACAAAAGTCACTTTTCAAAACAAACAGCTTTCTTTTGGCCAGCACTGTGAATTCACAAACTTGAATATGAGCTAAATCTGCATGGGAAAGTTTGAAGCCCACACGCGTAACTCCCATTTGAGCAGAATCATGTTGAAATGGATTTCGCCCACAAAATTTCACTGAGCACAATGGTAAATGTGTATTCTTATCCTGATATTCGGTACAACAGTTTAGTTCCAAAAGAGGAGCATTAGGCTATCAATTTCCAAATCAGCAATCCAACTTTTCACTTGTACCTATAACTAAATCTGCTTGTGTTTTCATTTTCCAGACAGGCTGTCAGTCTGTTCAATAGTGGCAATTTTTTCAGTGACCTTACTGTTACATTGTTATGCCAGTAGGTGGCGACAAGTGACTCTTTACTGAATCGTTCACTCAACTGACTTGCTGATTAGTTAAAACACCGCTGCTTTGTGTTGCTCAGAGATGCACAACATTTGTCCTGCTTTGACTGCTTTCAGAACTATTTTTATTGACAGAGCAAACATTGTACTGCCAATAATGTGTCTAAAAACTTGTGCTTTAAACTAATTGTTTATTAAATTATTGCATGAAAGCTTAAATAAACTGTATGGACAAGCTGACATTTATAGCTCAGAAATTGGAGCGCTTGTGTATGGCAGAAACATCTGAAGGCATGCCTGCAGAAAATCTTGCATGCCTGACAGATCTTTTGACTCCTTATACACTGGCTCTGGTGTGGAATGAATGACTTATGCCGTCTCTCGTGGGTGTGCTAAATGCCATCTCCTGGCAGACTCAATCACAGGAGTCCTTATAATGTCCCTGAATGAACGCTTTGAGTTTCAGCAGCTACACATCCCACATCAACAATATTTACAGATGATTGCATTGACTCTTTAAGAATGGGGATAGCACATTTTTTTCAGTTTTTGGATTTTTTTTTTCGACACGAGAATACTTATAACAATCACTATTATTAGGCTATTCTTCTTAGAACTTATTATTATTATTATTACAGGTAAGATTTTCTGTGCAATTTTGGAGGTGGCGGTTTAAATCACACACACAAAATGTAAAATATAGCAATGTAAACCACCACTGCACTTCTTTATAAATACGAATGTCAGTTTAATATCCTTATTGCAGAGCATGGATTAATACTCATCGCACACGGATAATTTCCCCCATCACTATATGGGAAGTTCCAGTCTCTCTTACATGTCATATGCATTCATCTGAATTACGTGAACATGAACTAAAGCAGTGATTCAGCGCGTCTCTGAGTGGGAGTGACAGAAAAGACCAGAATATTTCAATGGCGCAGAAAAGTAGCGCGTGGGCGCTCGAGCGAGTGCTGGAGCGGGCAAAGCGCGCATCTGGGACGCGTGTGTTTATGTAAAGGGGTGATGGGAACCTTGAACTCCTCACCGCGAGCAGCGTTGAGTGCGCAGTGTGCGTGGGCGGCGGAGTCATTATGTGTGTGTGGTCCCAGGCATCGTGAATCCACGGGCGATTTATTCATTTATGCGCGACTGTCTGATTTCGCAAATGGTGCATACATATGTATTATTTAGAGGTAAACACTGAAAACTTGGAACAGAAGCAGGAGAACAATAATTAAACTGAACGGTTTGCACATTTCACGGGATACGTTTGCCTTGCAGTAATGACAAGAGAAAATTTTGAGAAGCTGGAAACTTGAGCAACTGGTTTTCTCTAGCTTCGCCTAGCGATGTCCAATTCGTAAATGAATGGTTCTTTCAAATCTAATTATTTTCAATGAATCAGTTGAACTGATTTATTAAAGGGATACTCCACCCCAAAATGAAAATTTTGTCATTAATCACTTACCCCCATGTCCGTAACAGCTTCGTTCGTCTTTGGAACACAATTTAAGATATTTTGGATGAAAACCGGGAGGCTTGTGACTGTCCGAT